GGTTATTTAAGGTTCTGCAGTACACTCCCTCATAAAGTGTCAGCCCTGCACCTTAGCCAAAGTCTAATCTTGGTAATTACCTTCTGCCTACATAAATTTTGCAGCAGTTTCCCTTGGAGGCGTTTCAAAGCCTATCTGTTATTTGCAGAGTCGCAAGGCAGAGCCCCTGAAAATACCTTGTTAACGTGCTGATGCCCCGCTGAAGGGAAAGGCAGCCCCCTTCCCTTCTCGGGTGGGTGTCAGCCCTGCTGCCCACAGTGCCAAGCTCCCTCCAGGATGCTTCCAGTGAGCAATCTGCTTTCCTTTCAAATAGGCAAGCGAGCACTGTATGACAAGCATATGAAACCGCTCTGGGAGGTACTGTGCTGCCTTCCTGGACTTGAAGATGGTTTAGTATGAGCCAGGAGGTACCAAGCCACTCAACATGTCCTGGGAAAAAACACTCCCACAACTGGGCATTTCCCTTGAAAGGTCCTGCCTGTAAGCTCGGTTCACTTTCCATACCCTTCCCCTGAGCCACAGGGAGGCAAATCATCTCTGAAGGCCTGACTGCCTCTTGTTTCCCCTGCAAGGAAGGTGTCCTCTGGGTCCAGTCCTGTGCCTCCATCAGGGCTGGATGCGGTGCCTGCACAAGGGAGCCCCAGGATGTTCCTCGTCTGGACTCATAGGGCTCCCTGCAGCAGGTGGCCACCCACTTTCTGTCAAAGACCGGTCAGAGAAACAGACACACCGAAATCTGTCAAAATGAATTCCTCAGCAAGAGAACAGCTGCAAAGGATAACCAGGTGCTTGCTGTCATTAAAGAGGTAAAAGGACAGGAGGACAATGGGTTATAACGTCTTTAGGAACAACCTGTATGTCCTTAGAACATTATTTATTCCCTCATGAGTTGCAAAAATGACCAGCCCTTTGAAAAGCAGAAATACTGTAGCTTCCCAAGGAAGAAAAAAAGCAAAACCTGCCCCCCTCTTTACACTGAGCCAAATGTCTCCCATGAGTGTTCCCCCCAAATTTGGGCTGGAAGGCAGGGGAGGGCTGGTCCTACTGCGCAGACCACACAAGCATCACACTATGGTTGAGGCTGACATGGGTCCTCCTGTGTGCCGCTGTGGTGCTCCTGCCATGGTGATCTGCCACCCAGCTGTACCAGGCAATGGCTGCAGTCTTGTGCAGTGGTCAGAGGCCATGCCACCCTGCGAAGTCCCCTCCTCTGGAAAGTCCGACAAGGAGGTGCTGCCTCCACTGCAGCTTTGTGCTTTGGCCCTTCCCCATGACATGTAGCCGTGTGAGCATCCGTGCCGTGTAACATGGTGTGAAAGGGCTGACCTACCGAAGCACCAGAAGTATCAGAGCTTGACTATTACCTGTAATTCACGTATTTGGCCCTTTAGTTTGTACTTCATCACCCAGTGAAGTGTCTGAGCTTATAGAAAGAAAAGTAGCTTGTAAAAGTCCAAGAGATATTATTTCCATGTCTTCTGAAAGTTCCCTGCCCCCTGCCAAGTCCTCCATTGGAAGTTCTGGACAGAGACCCATGTTGCTCTGCAGCTGGGGAATTTGGCAGGGGTTAGAGATGTTGGTCCAACACCCTGCTCCAGCCGTCTCCCCTGGCTCTGCAGAGGTGCTCCTTCCCACCAAACAGGGCAGGTCGCCATTGCGGCTCCTTCCAGGCAAAGCTACATCCATTGCTGGGGGCCGACTCTGTGCTGCACACAGTGGGGAAGCCAGAGGAGCTGGTGCAGCACAGTTCCATCATGGTGTGGTGGGAGGATGGACACCCTGGGGCTGGTGAGGCTGCGAGGCAGAGGGGAGCAGGGGGTTATGGCCAGCACAACACAGGCACAACCCTCCCAGCACAGAAGAGAAGCTGTAAGTATTTGAGACTTCCATGCTGCCACTCATATGGTTTCCTCAGAAATTCATCAGATATATGAAAATAATGAAACAGAGCAGCTCCACAGCCAAAATAGAGAGGACTTGTCTGTAGACTGTTTAGAGAGTGACACCTTAAAGTGAGGGGAGTACCTGCAGTCCCCAGATGTAAGGGGAGAGGTAGCTCCAAGAACTATTCTGGGGTGCAGGCCCAAGTGAAACAGCATCTGTACAATCCTGGTAGCTAACAGCCAGGAAGAAATGTTTTTAATTGGAAGAGGGGCAGAACTGGAGAGCTGTCCTACGAGAGAGATGAGAACAGGTGGTAGGATCAGTCTAGCCAAACAAAGGCTTAAAAGGATTTCAGCTCACATCTATAAATACTGCAAAGGGGAAAGAGCTACAGGACACTGTTAGCAGTGGAAAAAAAAAGAGACGTAAACTGTGCATGACTGCCTTTGAATCCAAAATTAGAAGACATTTCCTAACTCTTAGAACAAGAAAGTTCTTGGAACAGCATTCCCATTGAAAAGGAATGGGCAAATTCACCAAATTACTGTTAAAATAATTCAAGAAGATCATGAAAAGGATAGTATGGTATGATGCTTTAGCAGCAGGAGCCTGAAACTGGTAACACAGAAGCTGCTGCCATTGTTATTTTAATCCTCTCAGATGTGATAACTCCACAGGATCTGCAAGCCAGAATAGTATTGAAAGTTGTAAAAATCTCCTACAATTTACAGTAAGATGCTTTATTTTCAAATCCATGCAAGTCAGATGTAACTTTAGAAACAGGCTATCACATGGAAGCCAAAGTCTTCTACTAGGTGCTGGATTAATACCATCTATGCTTGATACCAAGAGCAACCAAATACTTAAAAGAGGGAACAGAATTTGGTTCACATATTGATAAGCCCAGTACATACAATGTCTTGGTCTGACAGATATCCATTTCCAAAACCCTGCACTTAAGACAGAATTAATTTTTAGATTCCTTTCTGAAAAGTTACATCTAAAGTTTGACTCGCCAGTTCAATGACTTCACTTTGAACATTAAGTTCTTAAATGGGATAGTGACAACGGTGCCTTACATGCTAGGAGAAAACCTGCAAATGAGAG